CCAATTTATAATAAATTTTAGCCTATTTTCTTATCTTTCTAAAATGAAATTTTAAATTTATATATAAAAAAATGTTAGGGGTTCAAAATTTTTGGATTAAGTTTTTATATTAATTTTTATAGTACTTAGTTCAAATTTTTATATTTTTATTATTCAATTATTAAATAATAGGTAATTTTGTGACATAGAGTATAAATGGAAAAAAATTGATAATTAGGCTTATTGAACATTATAAGTAAATATTTAAAGCTAATGATGGGTACAAAGAGCGGTACAAATTGATAACTTAGTTTGCAAAAGTGAATTTAAATGAGTTTACAAAAAGTTAAAATAAATGGGTTATAAATAGGTAAAATGAGAAGAATACAGAAGATGATCGTGTTTGACCTGTTGAAGAATACAGAAGAATAGTTTTTGACTTACTCATTATGGACTGGTTTAGGGGTCAAATATGGTTTTATTGCTCATTACGCGTGACTTACTAAGTTCTTAAAACAATTTCACGTAGTAAAATGAGAAGGATTCGATTTTTTGGCATCCTAAGTTTGACATGATATGACAATCGGACTTGAGTCACCTGGTTGCTACTTATCTTCTTTTGTGTACAATTAATTAACTCCTAATAGGAATGCAGGCATCAATGAAAGTACAGAAAATGTTTAGGTTGGAATAAGTTATTTCTTCATTTCTGTTTCATAACCTTATACGCATCTAATTAGATAGAAATGACATGAGTCAATAATTCGATTTAAAGCATGAAATGAAGGATTCTTCTTAGAATAAACTCGAGAATGAAGGCAAGGATCCTTCTAAAACTAAAATGAAATGTTGAAAAGAACACTAGCCAAATTCTGCCAGAGTGAAAGCATGAATATATTCACATGATACTAATTTTGATTATATGCAGAGCTAAAGCTTGGAACAACATGTCAGCTTAAAATGCAAGCTAAAACAGAGATACAAGCTAAAACAGAGATACATTTAATTTTTTTTAAAAAATGATGATAAAACAATAATTTTGCTCGGTTCATTGAGAATGTTAAAACTGATGGCAATTTTATTGACATACATCCCACAAAACACAAAATGGACCAGGGGCAGGAACGGTTGCAATGGAACAGGGATAGGAACGATTGTAGGTGTTGCAACCATTCCTAGTAGTTATGTATATTTTGCACACGGCGTAACTTTGTTTGCATATGGTGTGACTTACTTTCAATAACGTCTAACTTTAGAACAAAATTTTGCGGGTTCCACACATGTTATTAGAATCGATATATTAGATGAAATCTAGACCGTACAATTTTTTTGGCCAAATCTTGGCCGTGAATTGCCAGGAACCGTTCCTGCCCCTCTTTCACACAAAATGATGTGCTACAGAAATTCAGGTGTGACAAGCAAGTATAGAGTATGTTCTATGAAAACGTGCTAATGCATGTAACAAAAATTCAACCAAAAACAAAAAAAAAAGTGTTTGGATTGAGAAGATTTGAAATAAAATAATTTACTTCACAAATTTCAATTATCTTTTTATCTCATATACATCACATCATAAGTTATAGTAATTATTTCAAATAAATCATCCAAATAAACTCCTGTCCAAACACTTTCAGCTGCTTTGGGAAAATTTCAGGCGTTAGACACTTCATGTTAATAGATTATACTTTTGACAAAAACTAGCACAATTATCCACGCCTCTGAGCTCACAACCCTTAGATTTTTTTCGCTGCTGGTAAGGTTTGAACCCTCGCCAACAGCCCAAGGAGAGACTTAAGTCCCTCCCTGGTGGCCACTGAGCCATTGGCCCACTGGTTAACATTTTTGTGGTTGTCACTATTCTTTATTGCTGAACCCTGTGTACAATTTTGTCTTTTTTCTGAGACACACATTATTGGTTTCATAGAAAAATCGATGTAATTATTTATCAGTTAATGGTACAGAACGTTTTTTTTTCTCTGCTTTCCCAACCACACTGAGAAAATTGAATACTTGGAGGAAAAATGTGTGTATGTGCGAGTCTATATATATATATATATATATATATATATATATATATGTATCCTCTGCGGTGCATGATTTATGGATCAGTAGCAGTATCGGAATCATGGGATTGGTCAAGTCAAACTCAGATCTAATTTCTTTTAACCAAGACCATTAACACTTCACCTAAAACCACCAAATTGAGAGAGGAGTGAACCAGGAAAAGTTCACCAACAAAAGGATTGATGACCTAGAGGAAAAAAATACCAAACAAAAAAAAAATCTAACGCCTTATTGCAATTAAAAAATCATAACCAAATAGCCAACTATTGGCCCAAAAAGAAGGGATGCTAGTTCAAATTTTTAAAGAACAAAGCTAGTGACTTTACCCATTGGCAGTTTTGGGAACATCCCAGCCAGAAGTAGAAGAAGCTTCAGCAAGAGCTGCCCTCCACTTTTGAACCCTTTCCTTGTCCTCTGCTTCATCTTCATGTTTGACAAAACCTTTACCAAAACTGCCTTTCTGTTTTCTCGCTACAAATGGATCCACATAGTAAAATACCGGCGGAATAATTTGTCCTAACTTGTGGTTGCAGTCAATGATCTCTGCAAGCTCATCCAGACACCATGAAGAAGTAGGTTGGCGTAAATGACAACTGCAATTCTTGACTCTTTAATAGGTTGGCCTAATGCAGGTGAAATGGGTCTTCCTCTTTCAAGCTTTTCATCGTCTTTGAAGGTGTAATAATTCCCTTTTGTTGCAGAGCACTGTAGAGGAAGTAGACAAAGCTCTTTCGGACATCTTCACCCCTAAAGCACAAGAAAGCATGATAAGTCCATTTAGGAGCGGAAGGAGAAGAAGAAGAAGAGGAGGCAATTAATGTTTCTCATTTCTTGCTCAAGAAAACTTCCCAAGTCCATCTAGGAAAGTCCATTTAGGAGTGTTCGAAGTTGTTTGGATAGGAATGATTTGAAAAAAAAATAATTTACTTACATTATACACACAAATACATTATAAACACAAATTCTAACGTATTTTTTTAATTTTTTTATTATTTTTTATCTTATATACGTTGTATTACAAAAAATACTATCATAATTATTTTAAGGGATAATTGGAGAAACCTCCCTGAGGTTTCTGACATTTGCACTGACTTTCCCTGTGATTTGAAAAATTACACTGACCTTTCCTGAGTTACTAATCCTTTACAAATTTAGTCCAAATGACTAAAATATTGTTTTAGGGAGTGAAATTAGAATTTTTTATCAAATTTGTCCTTTGTACTACATGTCCAATGCATAACAAAATACTACAAATCAATTAACAATTAATAAACTTTAAGGAGTATAGTTTATAGGCAAATATGCATTACCTATTTAAAGTACCGGCTCTTTATGGGTATTTTACTTTCAAACATTTAATTTAATACAAATATTTACGCTCAAATACATATTTGTATTTACTTTCAAATATTTAATTTTTATTAAATATAAAAACTACCAATCTCTCTTCCGTAAAAATATTAATATAATAATTTTTCAATTTTAGTTACAAACATTTATGTATTTAATATAAATTAAATGATTCATAATAAAATACCCATAAAAAACTAATACTTTACTCATGTAATGGATGAAAACCATAAAGAATTAATACTTTATGGGTCATTTTTTAAAAAAAATATATTTGATTTATATTAAATAAATAACCTACCAATTTCCTTTTTGCAAGAATATTACTGTAACACTTTTTGAATTTTACTAACAAACATTGATATATTTATCATAAATTAAATGTTTGAAAGTAAAATATCCGTAAAAAGCAGTTATTTTAAATGAGTAATGCGTGTTTGCCTATAAAGAACCGGTAACTATTTAAAGTACCGGTTCTTTAAGGGTATTTTGCTTTCAAACATTTAATTTAATACAAATATTTACGCTCAAATATAGATTCGTATTTATTTTCAAATATTTAATTTTTGTTAAATACAAAACTACCAATCTTTCTTCCGTAAAAATATTAATATAACACTTTTTCAATTTTAGTTACAAACATTTATGTATTTAACATAAATTAAATTATTCAGAATAAAATGCACATAAAGAGCGAATACTTTACTCGTGTAATGGATGAAAGCCATAAAAAATTAATACTTTATGGGCCATTTATTTTTTTAAAAAAATTTTAATTTATATTAAATAAATAACCTATCGATTTCCTTTTTACGAGAATATTACTATAACAATTTTTGAATTTTACTCACAAATATTGATATATTTATCATAAATTAAATATTTAAAAATAAAATGCTCGTAAAAAGTTGATATTTTAAATGAGTAATACGTGTTTGTCCATAAATTATACTCATTAAAATTTATTAATTATTAATTAATTTATAATACTTTGTCATTCATTGGATATATAGCACAAAGGACAAATCTGATACAAAATTCTAATTTCACTCCTTAAAATAATATTTTAATCACTTGGATTAAATTTGCAAAGGATTAGTAACCTCATGGGAGGTCAGTGTAATTTTTCAAATCACAGATATTTTAAATGAGTAATACGTGTTTGTCCATAAATTATACTCATTAAAATTTATTAATTATTAATTAATTTATAATACTTTGTCATTCATTGGATATATAGCACAAAGGACAAATCTGATACAAAATTCTAATTTCACTCCTTAAAATAATATTTTAATCACTTGGATTAAATTTGCAAAGGATTAGTAACCTCATGGGAGGTCAGTGTAATTTTTCAAATCACAGATATTTTAAATGAGTAATACGTGTTTGTCCATAAATTATACTCATTAAAATTTATTAATTATTAATTAATTTATAATACTTTGTCATTCATTGGATATATAGTACAAAGGACAAATCTGATACAAAATTCTAATTTCACTCCTTAAAATAATATTTTAATCACTTGGATTAAATTTGCAAAGGATTAGTAACCTCATGGGAGGTCAGTGTAATTTTTCAAATCACAGGGGAGGTCAGTGCAAATGTTAGAAACTTCCTTGAGGAGGTTTCTGCAATTATCCCTTATTTTAAATAATCTCCTATCCAACAGAAGCAAAAACACCACCCATCACCACCATAGCCACCGAAGCTCCACCACCGTTGCCGCCGCACAAGAATCCATCAACCGCGGATCCTTAAACCACGTAGATCTCCACACTGGATCCAACGGCTGGGCTTCACCTCCAGGTGATTTATTCTCTCTCCGTGGACCCAACTACGTGACTAAAAGGACAAAATTTCCCTCCGGACCGTGGCTTCTCCAACCTGCCAGCGTCGATTGGCTCCGATCCAACGCCAAGCTGGACCATGTCCTCGCCCGACAGGATAACCCAATCATGAACTTACTCAAATCCCCCAATCTTCAAGGAAAGAGTCTGAAAACTTTCCTTGTAGCTGTCAATCTCCAAGTCCCCGGCCGGGACCACCACAGCGCAATATTCTACTTCGCCACTAAGGAAGACGAAGGCCTCCAACCGGGCTCTCTCCTCTACGGGTTCGTCCACGGTGACGATTATTTCCGGAACAGCCGGTTCAAGATCGTGAATCGGATAGTCAAGGGCCCATGGATTGTGAAAGCCGCCGTCGGGAATTATGCCGCCTGTTTACTGGGAAAAGCGCTCAAGTGCAATTATTTTGTGGGCGATAATTACCTCCAAATCGACGTGGATACCGGAAGCTCGGCGATCGCAAGCGCGATTTTGCACTTGGCATTGGGGTACGTCACGGTGGTCACGATTGACATGGGGTTTTTGGTGGAGGCACAGTCGGAAGATGAGCTGCCGGAGAAGCTGTTCAGGGCGGTGAGGATTTGTCAAATGGAGATGTCGTCGGCTACTCACGTGGAGAATAGTAGCAGTGCGGTGTCGTTTAAGAGGGGGATTCATAGTGGGCACCCGAATGGTAGTAGCTGTAATAGTAACTGTAGTAAAGTAAAGTGCAGGGCCTGCAGGCTGAAGAGTGCAGCAATAATGGAAATTTGTGCTGCTTACGCTGTTTGGGCTCCGAACACTTCCCAAGATAGAAGAGAGTTTATTTTATAAAATATAGAAGAGAATTTAGAGAGAAAGAGAGAAGGAAGGGAAGGAGAGAGATTAGAGTGAGGAAATATAGAGAGAGAGTGTAATGAAGAAAATCTGTTATTGTCAAATGTGGGTCCTACCACTGTTTCTAACAAACCATAACAGTTCTCGTAGCTGGTCATTAACCGACTTAACCATCCCAACTAAAGCTACTACTAAAACTACATCGTTTTGGCTCCAATTACATTTCGATTAGTTTAGCTCCTAATTCTTTTTTATCGAAATCGATAAATGACCCACACACACCCACCTAATTTAAGATTGGCTGTAAAGCAATTTAAAGGGGACCGACCAAGAACCTGCGACGACAGAAAGATCAGCATCGACGACGTGTATTCTGTCAAGAATACACACTTCTGTGGGATATACACGGAGAGCGAAGACGTGTGTCCGAACTGCGGGTTTCTCGATCCATAAAAATTTTGATGGAAAATCTTCAAGATCTCGTCTTCTCCTTCTGCTGGATTTCAATCCCCTGACAATCACAACTCAGAGCTTTGGGGGATCATCAAAAGTTCGGAATTCTACCTAACATCGTTCTCGTATACAAGACTGATTCCCCATGCTTTGAAAATACTAATAAAACCACACACTTCAATGGAAGTCCAACTGCGTACCCAATCTCCATTCGAAGACCAAATATTAATATCAAGTGGAATATATCCTAGCCAAGTATGTTCTGAATCCATGTTTTCAGTTTCCAAATAACCTAGTATGACTATGTTGGGATAGCGCTTCATCTCCTGATCTACGGGAGTAAACCAGAGACCAAAACCTATACCTTTCTGTAGAAGATCACACCCTATGTTTCTCGGAACTGGGGTCATTATCAAATCAGAAACAACACAAACTGCGAATCCCATGAACTCATCGTTGTACCAATTTGGAGGAAGTTTAACTGTTATTGAAGGCCCTGAATTCTGGTAGGTGAACCAGGATGGAATGCTCCCTCCAGGAAGACAGATGCTAAAGCTACCACCTATCAGGCTATCATCTACAGGTGAAAATTCCTACACAGCAAGAAATTAGGCCTCTTTCTCAGTAACATAACAAAAAGTTTTAGTTTGTGAAGCACATCTAAACTAGTAGTCCCTCTGTCTCAAAAAGTTTTTTGTGGACGCCGAGAGTTGGTATGTATATTGCAAAAAAGAAAATACCTTCAGCATGTGATTCCAGGTTGCATATACCATGCTGGAAGTTTGTTCATCCTGAAGCAGCTTGAAACAATTATAGAATGAAACCCAGCGTAACTTCCCATGGTTTGTCAGATCAGTTGCACTCTGCAATGATGTACAATCATCTGCATACACTTGTTCTATACAAAGTGGAAGCTCTGGAAGTTTCTCAAGTCTCTTGCGGCCAACTAATTCAAGGATTCGAAGGTGACTGAGGTTCTTGATACCTGCAGCAGAGATACTAGTAAAGTTGTTCTTGCCAAGATTTAATTCTACTAGGGAGGATAAGCTCCTTAAATCGCTAGGTAATCCTTCGTCTGACAGATTGCAATCACTAAGATCTAGTCTTGCTAGGGAATTTAATCCTGCAACAGATGGAAAAACCAAGCCAGTTGAATCTTGACTTTTTCGACCCAGCAACCAAGAGGGCGAGAATGCTCTACATTTACGAGATGCCATTGCTTTACGTCCTTTGAAAGACAATGTTTTTAGGTTTTTCAAAAGTACGATTGAGGATGGTGGCTTGGAGATGGCAGTTCCATCAACATAAAGCTCTTCTAAGCTCAGTACATGCCCACAATCTGCAGCCAGAAAGAATAAGAGTTTCAAGACATTTCAATCTGCAGAGGCCACTTGGCAGACTTGCGAGACTTTCACAGCCCCTTAGATTCAACAAAACAAGGCTTGTAAGGTGCTCAATTGAAGGGTGTATCTCAGCAAGACTTGAACAGCCTTCAAGGATCAATCTCTCAAGATTTGGTGTCCCGTGAAGTCTGGCATCCTTATTAATTTCTGGGAATAGCTCAGGTCGATGTATTTCAATTTGTCCAGCGACTGTCAAAAGTTTTTTTGGCAAAATGACAGAAAGAAAGGGGAAGAAAAAGACATCATATAGGTTCAAGCAAGATTCATTAGGAAACAACAATAAATCGGAGTTCAAGATGGTACCTTTATCCCTTTCCACAGTTGTATGATGCGGCTATATTGTAGCTTGAGTCCTACGAGTTTTTCAGCTTGGAAACTCTCTGGAAGGAATTTTGAAGGGTATCCATGCCAGTCAAGCCAGCGTATCTCATTCGGTATGCAATTCGGGCAGAGAGAAACACAAGCATTATTGATTTTGAGTAGCCTTAGTTTCTTCATCTTTTCAAAGGCTTCATTCTTAATTACAACATCTTTTGGGGTAGACAAGTCCAGCCACATGCCCACAATATTTTCTGTCGCCTGCCAATTAAAGATCAGAGTCAGTAATTTACCCATCAGCAGTGTTGCGAACATCCCAGCCAGAGATAGAAGCAGCTTCAGTAAGAGCTGCTCTCCACTTTTGAATCATTTCCTTGTCCTCTATTTCGTCTTCATGTTTGACAAAAGGTCGATCAAAGCTGCCTTTCTGTCTCCGTACCACAGATGGATCCACGTAATAAAAAACCGGCAGAACAGTTTGTCCCAACACATGCTTGCAGTCAATGATCTCTGCGAGCTCATCTAAACACCATGAAGAAGTGGCATAGTTTTCTGAGAATATTATAACTGCAATTCTTGACTCTTTAATAGCTTGGAGTAGTGCAGGTGAAATGGATCTTCCTCTTTCAAGCTTTTCATCGTCTTTGAAGGTGTAAATTCCCTTTTGTTGCAGAGCACTGTAAAGGAAGTCGACAAAGCTCTTTCGGACATCTTCACCCCTAAAGCTCAAGAAAACATCATAAGTCCATTTAGGAGTGGAAGCAGAAGAAGAAGAAGAAGAGGCAATGTTTCTCATTTCGTGCTCAACAAAACTTCGCAAGTCCATTTAAGAGTGGAAGAAGAAGAAGAAAAAAAGGCCAATGTTTACCACTTCTTTTTACGCGGTATGCAGTACAGCAATGGACTGTGGATGTGGGGTAGAGTAGAAAGTTCAATGAAATGAGCCAGAAAGTCAATACCCACGTCGGAAGATTGTGGGATTTTCACTATGAGTTTAAGGTTCACGCGGCTTCGTTCTGTAACCCATTGATTGAACGTTGATTCTTTATGAGTCTCTTTAAATTGCTTTCGAGCCGATTTAACCGGTAACTCCTGCCTGTTAATCTAATTTGTATGTGTGCGTGTTTATTTCTACTTCTGGAAAAAAAAACCAGAAAGTCAATAAATCTGCTTCCGTTTTCAATTTTGCTTTTCCTGGTTATGAGAAACCTAAAAGCAATTGCTCCTAACCTTTTCTTGTTTTTGCTGCATTTTCTAGAGTCATTCTTGATGTAAGGGGAGTGACTATATCCAAATAATATATCAAAAATAACTCTAAATATACATATTTATTCGGAATTTTTGATTTCGAATTATGAGAATTTGGTTCGAATTCAGTAATAGATTTTTTGAAATCGGAAATAGAAATCAGATTTTTCGATTTCAATTTCGTTTTATTATATATATATTAATATTTATTTATTTATATATAATATTTTTTATTTTGTAAGGTCCAAAGACAACCTAAGAGGGGGGTGAATTAAGTTGATTAAAATCTTAATCAAATTTATGCACTTTTTCTTTAATAAAAATTTACCTTCTTTTCTAGTAATGATCAACCAAGTAGATTAGAAGAAGAGATCAATGTTGATTAGAAAAACAAGTATAGATAAGCAATGAAAATTTTATTAAACAAAAAGAATAAGATAGAATATCAAACCGATTGTCTACTAAGATTTCCTCAAACTTGAAGACCAATCACTAGGTTGAGCAACTTCTCTTTGATGAAAGATGATCAACTAGATGTACAATGGAGGGAGCACTTCCTCCTTGCCCTAAGCCTCACTTAGTCAAGTTAAGAAGTTTTACAATCACTCAGATAACCCTCAACAAAGCTACACTAATGAAACTTTCAACCACAAAAGAAATGCTCACAAGAAATTCACACCACTTGGAGAACAAATCTAGCTTTGGAGACTATTTTCTAACTAAAATATCTCTTGAGATCTTGTAAACAAAGTGTGCAAAAGTCTTCTGCAGGTTTAGGATCTATTGTATTTAAAAGGAACAAAAAATGAGCTTCATTAATGCTTCCAACGGATAGAAGGCAGATGAAGAGTCAAGTAGCCGTTGGGGCTGTCGGACGTCCGACGGATTAGTCATCGTCCGATCCCATCGTCCGAAAATCAGCCTAGTTATTGTTCAGACGTCCGATGGTGTATCATCGTCCGACAGCAATGCGTCCGATCGTCGTCAGAGAGTTGGCAAGTCATCTTGGAATTTTTCGGACGTCCGACGTGGTCGATGTGCGTCCGAGGCGTGCGTCCGATCCTTTCGGACGTCCAACACTTCCTTATGAATGTCCGACAGTGCTTCCTTCTTGATGTTCTTTATCCTTTCGGACGTCCGACATGAGTGTCCTGTTTTTTATTCTTCTTTTGGTTGATTTTCATTTCTTGACATATTCGTACCTGATTCTTTGATAGGCAAAAAACACTTATATTTAAAGAGAGTTAGATAAACATTTCAAAGTACTTTGTGATCATCAAAACCAAGAATAACATTCTCCCCCTTTTTGATGATGACAAAACAAAGGTTTGAAATGAGATTTGATGATTGCAACATAAGCTCCCCCTTTCTCAATTGACAAGAACTCCCCCTTACTTTGTGGATCATAGAGCAAAAATTTTGAAAAACTCCCCCTCACTTGGCTGCCCAACCGAATTAATTAATTATCCAAAAACATGACAATTAAGCAGCCAACATCCAACATTTTACCAATTCAATCCATCAGCCAATCCAATTTCAATTAAATCATCAATCAATCCAATCCAGTCCTCTCCCCCTTTTTGTCATCACAAAAGGGCAATCAATCCAGTCCATCTCATCCACAAAAACATTCATCAATCATATCACGGAGAACCAGTAACAAAAACATTCATCACATCTACACATTCATCATTTAAAATACTTAAACATCCATCAAAAAGTACTAAAAGAACACAACATAAACAAAAGCATAACAAAATGTTGAACACCAACTACATATCCATTGATGAACACCACAAACACTAGAAACACATGAAATAGACAAACAAAATGCAAATGTCCTAAATGGTGAACTATGTGGATCCAGGTGTTCTTCGAGAGAGCTGATATTGGGAGAGGTCCTCCTCTTCAGTTTCTTCATCATCTTCAGCAGCTTCTTCAATTGGTGCCTTGCCTTTATCTGATGTGGAGGGGTCATGAGGAGTCACAGGAATTGATGAGTTCGGGTCTGGAATTGATGAATTTGGATCAGTGGGGCGTGGCTCTTTGCCATGTGAAACTTCCTCAACCACAGGTGGGGGAAAAAGAATATTCTTTTTGTCTAGGAAGGCTGTTTGTTGCTCAGAGGACATGGTGAACATTAGACCATGTTCCAGAAGAAAAACATGCTGTTTGAGTTCACGAAGGAGCTCAATCACTTCATCATTGGAGGAGAAAGATGCCTTAGTGGCAGACTTCCTGGGATGAATGGGAGTGAGTGCAACAGATGAAGGATTGTGTAGTGGATCATGTGCAGCCTTAGACCTAGGTTCACTAGATGATGCCCCCTTATAAGCCCATAGATTATCCTTAAAGACAAGATTTTTTCTTTCAAAATATCCTTTGGTAAAGGCATAAGAAGATGTTTCTTTGGGACAAACACCTAGAATTGGAACTTTGTAAAACTCAAAAATCTTTTGAAGAAACTTTCCATAAGATAATTTTCTGCGAGAATCAGTGGCATAGCGAAATAAGAACTTGCACATGACAAAACCAAAATCAATACGAATTTTTTCTCGAAAACAGTAAAAGAGATACAACTCTATTTTGTTTGCATCAGTTCTATGACCATCAGTAGGCACAAGCAGGTTTGAAATGATTGAAAAGGCAATTAGATTCACAGGGGCAAGATCATTCAGTTTAGCATCAGCAGGGGAGGAAAAACTTCTTTTAAAATAAGTCAACATTTTAGCCCCATCAAAATGATTATCAGCAGTAGGGTGCTCTTCATAGGAAAAAAAAATTGCAATTTTATCCTTGCATCCACGTTCAATAGTAGTATTTAAAATGGCATTCACTGTTTCAGAATCAAACACTAAGTCTACCCCATTAACCCTAGACATGATCTCAGTTTGGTCAGTGTCTTTCCTAAGATTGGCAAAGAATTGATACAGCATTTCAGGGTAATAAACATTGGGCATAGAAATGAGATGTGACCATTTCTGGAAAGCAAACAGACTCAGAATGGATTCTAAACCTATGTGGCGAAATTCAGAAGAGTTTACAGTGCGTTGAGGGATGACACCTTTCTGGGATATCCAGGAGTGTTTGTCTTTTGTAGCATCATCAAAGAATGTAGGGAGTGTGGTTGATTTTGGAGGTGGTTGAGATGAGGTTCCCTGTCCAGATTCAGGCAGAGGGGTGAGTTGTGGTGTAGGCCGTGACATTTGACCCTTTACAGCTCCTCTCTTGAAGCGTTTGGATGAACGTTTGACCGTAGGAAGATCATCATCCTCATCCCTGGGTGGATGCTTGCGTCCGACAATAACCTTCCCTCCTCTTAGATTCACCATTGTGCAAAATGTGTGGAATGAAGGATGCAAATGATGCACACAGTAGTATGGAAGTGAATTACACAGAAATTTTGGAACAAAAAGGCCTTGAACAAGATTTGACAGAGCGGTCATGAGAAAGTAGGGTTTTGAGGGAAATTTGGGAATTTGCGAAATGTTATGCGATTCGGTGAAATGATCAGGAGAAATGAATCGCAATCGATCAAGAAAAGTTTTGTTTGAGTCAATTTGGGAATGAGAACTTCAGAGTGGTATGAATTTGAGAGTGAGAGATGAGAGAGTTTTCGTCCGAGAGGAAATAAAAGAAGAAGAGTTTGAAGCAAATGAGGAAGAAAGTTGCTTTAAAAGTTTACCGTTGCACTGTCGGACGGCCGAACGAAATCGTGCGTCCGACAGTTTCGTCCGAATAGGTTCATTCTGGACAATAGCTGAAGAACATCATCGGACGTCCGTTCATCCTCTTTCGGACGTCCGAAGGCTATGAAAAATTTTAAGATGATTTTTCGATTATCCCTAATTTTGATCTTAGATGAATGAACTGATCTAATGGCAAAGCTTTTGTAAAAATATCAGCAAATTGATTTTTAGAACAAACATAATTTACACAAATTTCACCTTTTTGAACAAGATCATGAATAAAGTGGTGTTTTATATCTATATGTTTTGTCCTAGAATGCTGAATAGAATTTTTGGTCAGATTTATAGCACTAGTGTTATCACAGAATATAGGCATGCAGTCATATAACAATCCAAAATCATTCAAGGTATGCTTCATCCATAAAAGTTGAGCACAACATGCACTAGCGGCAATATATTCCGCTTTGGTTGTAGACGAAGAGATTGCAGTTTGCTTTTTGCTAAACCATGAAACTAAGCAATTACCAAGAAAGTGACAAGTTCCACTAGTACTTTTTCTGTCCACACGACAACCACCAAAATCCGCATCCGAATAGCCATATAGAGCAAATTCACAAGATCTAGCATACCAAAGACCATAGTCTAATGTACCTTTCAAATACCTAAAAATTCTTTTAACAGCATTTAAATGTGATTCTTTTGGACAAGGTTGAAATCTAGCACACAAGCAAACAGCAAACATAATATCAGGTCTACTTGCGGTTAAATAGAGTAGGCTTCCGATCATACCTCTATAGTGCTTTTCATCCACATGATTACCTTCTTCATCTTTGTCAAGTTTTGTAGAAGTGCACATTGGAGTTCCAACTTGCTTTGAGTCCTCCATGCC